AAATTTTTAAAGAAACTTTAACTAAACGTGTCCTTCGGACAAAATAATTTGTAAAGGGTAGTGGATTCTTCCCTCTACTTGGTTATTGGTTCAACCAAGGGGTGAGAATCCTATCCCTTGAATTTGGAGAAGATAGGATAGTTTTAGGAATAATTAAATTATAAGCAAAAATAAGATTAAACAATATAAGATATATATTTTCCCAATGAGTCCCTAATACAAATAAAACTAATCTTTACGTGTGTAAAAAGTACGTGTGAATCTGTACGTGTGAATGAGATAATCGTGTGTGTCGTAAAATGTAAGCTGTTTTTACTCACTACTTGGTATTCTGTACTTCGAAATTCGAATCCAATGACGAATCTTGTTTTTATCCTCTTTACTATGAACTTTAATATTCCTTAGATAATGCACAATGCTGAGACTTCAATTCTTTTACTCTTTAACATAATTTATGATTTCTTTAAATTTATTTTCACTTCTTTTATTTTAATATTTCTTTTCAATTCCCTATATTTAATTTTTATTACGTAAATTCTTTCTATTTATTTTCTTTCAGTATATTTCAATATTTTTCTTATATTTCTTTGATTCCTTTAATTACACAATTTAATTATTTATATTCAATATATATATTTTCAATTCAATCTTCTTTAACTTTTATTTATTTATATTATTCTCAATTGTATTCACTTTCTTTAAACAAACTTTTTATTCAACCGTTAGACTTTCGATACGATTAACACGGCTAAATGCCGGACTTAGAACTTCAGGCTACAAAGGCCTGGACTAAAACTGCGGGCCTAAACTGCCCGGGCTAACTGCCGGCTACAACGGCCTGGCTTAAACTGCCTCGATTTCCCGGTGTCAATCAATTTTATTGAAAGACGATTTAGTGGGGAAATCGTATGTTAAGTTCATTGTACTTGACTGTTGTCAGGTCAATTTCTGCAACCTTGCAGATTTAGGCAGTGGTGTGATCCGAGTTCAGTGACTTGGATGCACCACTCCTTATATTGAGCAATTTAACTTTGATATTTTCTAACTAATTTTCAAAAGGGTCAATAAACTGTTTGTCCAAGAAAAGGAATTTATTAAGAAATACCGTGTTTTATTCTTAGGCTTTTCATTTCAAATTGTGAAACTTAAAGGAATGTTAAATCTATTGAAATATATATTATTTATATAAAGTTAGATCTTTTTCCAATTAAAATATTCTGGATTAAGATATTCAAAGAGAAGAATGTCCCTTTTGTGAAATTTGTTGTTGTTTTTGTGTAAATGTTTTGTGTTGTTTAACAAAATCTCATATTGCGTGTAATTGTTGCATGTAATTTTAGTTTAAGTATAATTAAAAAAAGGTATTAACAATATAAAAAGTTACGGAGTTCGGCCGTAACAAATGCCCCCCTTTTATTAGGCTGACGTCCCTTGTCAGCTGCTATGAATGCGTTATCGAAGATCCTCTTTTAAAATTTGTAGATATAACTCGTTTGAGTTTTACAAAAAATCGTATCCTGGTTATCTTGCTTTACAGAAGTTTATGTTTGAGATTGATTATGTTAATCTTTCTTAAAAACTTGCCTTACAAATTTTAATATATTTTTCATTTATAGAACATGTTCAAAATGAAATGCGATTTAACATGCCGTATGCCTAAGTTCTTTGATTAAAGTATTTTTCTACAATGTTTTTACTTTATCGTTGGTAAAAATGGTTATACAGGTCATTGTGTTTTTAGTATAATTATATAATTTTAAAAGAATTTTGTCGAATATGACTTTAAACGCTGACAACGTCTTTCACTAGTATCATATGAATAAACGTAACCATGTCTACCTAAGTTGTATTGTATGTGATTGTCATAATGAAAAAAAAATTTTTTTTTTTATTTTCGGAAAGAGAAGAAAAAAAATTGTGACGACAATTCTGTTGTCATGCCCCCCTTTTAATTAGGCTGACGTCCCTTGGCAGCCATTTCTAAATGCTTTTGTTCTTTCTTTTCTTTCCAATTTTTCTAATTCTTTTCGCGTTGTAAAGATTTGTTATAAATAAAAACAGGTAAATTATTGTTGTGAGTTTTACTTTAGTTTCAAGTTTAGTTTACAAAAAAAGCAAAAACAAAACTGGTTTTCGATGGTTTACAAGTTATTTTTGTATTTAGCATGATTAATTTTATTATTTATATAAAAAATATTTTTAATATTTTTGTTGATTTGCATATTATTTTTGTATTTATTATGACGCATTTTTAAGTATTTTAAGGTCTAGAGTGGTAAAAAAAACTGTTTTAATTTTTTTTAAACATGTCTTTTAACTCTATTACTAAAAACAGAATTCTAACTCTTTATATTTTAATTGCATTTTTACCAATCTAGGCATTCGCTTATTTCAAGATATGTAATTTTTCTGAATTTCCATTTCACTTTTTTTATAAAATTTGAGTGACAACGTTTATTATTTCAAGTATTTTCTAATTGATCCTTATTTTTAAATGTATATTGTAAATTATAAAACCTATAGCTATTTTTAGTATACAACTTTTTTAGGGTGCTATTAATTTCAAACGAAGAATACATTAAATATTTTTACTTTTAATAATTTGAAAAAACATAATTTCATAGATTCAAAATTTGAATTTATCATAACAAATTGTTTTTGCTAGAAATTTATAATTATAAACTTTTTTTTTTAACGAAGATTGTCGAATTTATTTATCATTTCAATTTTTCTTAATGCCGTTATGAAATAATTTTACATAGGTTGCAGAATATTTTTATTACACAATAATAAGATAAAAATTTTATTTTTGCAAAAAATACTTTCATAGGTTGGAATATTGTGAATTTTTATACTTTTCTTGAAAAAATTCTATTTAAAATATTTTTTTGAATTGTAGTAAAATGTTTTTTTTATCTTTATATCATTAAATTATTTTAATATGTGGTAGCAAGAATATATTTTTATTAAAAAAAATGTCTTTTTAACTATAAAATTTTTGTGAATGTTTTGTAGTTCTTTTAAAAGACGTACAAAATTTAAGGAAAAAAATGTTAAATTGTATTAGTTTAACTCTGTTTCCTTATTACATTTTTGTGCAGTATGAAATAGAAATTGGTAAACAATATTGAGAATTTATAGAAGAACGGAACATTCTGATTTTTTTTAATTTCATTACTAATAGAAATTCTGGTCAAATAGTTTTGATAAAGCAAAACTTTTTAAATTATTTATTATGCTTATCCGTTCTAAAATTTTATTTAGAGCATTTAAATATAGTGCTTTGTATTGAAATTTTTCAACTTTTAAAAATTTCTTTATAAGTTCATTTTAGAAATAGTGTAAATTGAATAAGTTATCTTTTTTTTACTAAGAAAATGTAAGGCAAAACATTTCGTTTTAGATTTTCTTTTACAAAAAATTCTGTTTATCATACTTTAACTTTTTTTTTAAAAAAAAGAAGAAATAAACTGCACTTTTAATCAAAAATGGCTGTTTAAAATATTTTTAAGAATTTGCCTTTCAATATTTATGTTTCCATTGATTAATGTTTTTTTGTTTTTTTTAGAAAAAAAAACATTAAAAATGGCTTTACGTTTTCTAAGATAAATTTTTCTTTTTTTTTAATCTTTTCAAAGTGTATTTTTATTCATATTTATAATTTAAGGGTGTTAACTTTGTTAATTTATATTAGTGTTATTGGTGTTACAACAGTTTCATTTGTGCTCGAACTTTAAAGCATTCCCTTTAATATTATTTAGTGCATCATGTATTTTTAAGGAGTTATAAGAAAAATAGTCGCAGATTCTAGAAGTATTTAAAGCGTATTTTAATCTGAAATTCAATATAATTTGACAAGAGCATCAATGAAACGTAATTTTTTAGGTATTTCAACGAATACTATTATTTTTTTCTTTTTTAGATCATTGCAGTACTTTTTATTTTTAAAACACCGTTCGTTTATGGATTTAGTTAATTTGGTTAATAATAATTAAATTATGTGTAGTTGCTGTTTTATAAATAAATTAAAATGTTAGAATTTTTTTTTATTTTATTATTGCAATTTGTTAAAAATATGTTTTGTTTGACATTTTAATTTTTTTATTCATTATTATAATTTTACTTTTTTTTTATTACAGCATATCCCATTTTATTAAATTTGTTATTCCATTAGAAGCTTTTACTAGACTTATATATTTAGTGTTAGTATTCGAGCCATTGTTAAACTTTTTTTTTTTAAAAACTTATATTTTTTTTTACTAAATTAGTAAGCGAGAATTTTTTAACATTTTATGTCTCATTTTTCAATCTGATAATTGTATTCTATATTTTTAATCATTTACTTAAGTGTTGGTTTAGTTATCATTTCACTTTATTTATCATTTTATTTTTATTGTTATAATTATTTTAACCTTTTTTTTTTTTTTCATTAAGGAATTAATATTTTCGAACTACTTTACGTTTATCAATGTAGTTAGTTTGGAATTTTCTTAGTTTTATTTTTATAAATTATTAGGCAGAAAAATTTTAGTTTGACATTTTCATGCGTCTCTTCATGACGATAATTTTCATTTATTTTAGCAGCGTATAAAATTTTTAAATTTACTTAAAGCATTTATTAAGCTTATATTTTGTATACATGTTAGTAATCTACTGTTTATAAAATATGTTATAATAACTTCTGTTTTATTCCATATTTCCTTAATCTTTTATTTGTATGTTTACTTAGTTATTATTTTACTTTATCGATCTTATATTTTTTTGTATTTTTATAAGTATATTAGATATTTTACTCTAAATGAGAACATAAAATAAAGATAATTATAGTGTAATGGAAAGAGAATGATAAACTCAATTAACTAATATCTATATTACATTTAAGTCCTTGAGACTTGTAAAGTTCGAGTAATAAATTAACTATTTTACCCGGAAAAAATCGTTGAAGATATTTTGTGCTTTCACTGTTATTATTTCTGTCTCCTGCTTGATTTTACATACGTCTAACCTATTCCTAACCTCTCTGAGTAGACTTTTGTTACTACTATTTTAGGTATTTTATTTTGTAGTAGTTCATTCCCTTCGAATTTGCAGATAACTTCATTTTTCTCATTTGTCCCGAGTAAAAATGTATCCCAAAAATATTTTTGATGTATTTCTGATAATCCGTTATGCAATGAGATACAATATTCTACCATTTCTAAAATTTCTTGATTTAAACTTTTTCTAGATGATAGAATCTTATTTACGACAAATTCTTCTACCTCAGCATAAGTATTTGTTGAAATGATGACGTCTTCATTTGATACTTCATTGCCTAATTCTTCTTTTTTTTCTTCTTCATTTTTTACACTTAGTTGTTCTTGAGTTTTTGATTTGATTTTACCAGGAGGTTTTCCTTTTCTTAGTTTTTTCATAGTGCTGTCCGAATTCATATGTTGTATTAATGAATTTGAATCATCCATGACTGCAACATTCTCATTGTTTGCTTGTTTAATATCTAAAAATTCTTTACTTTTCTCAACAATTTTTTCTTCACCTTTTTGATCTGATCTTGTTTCATTTAATTCATGGCTAATTTCAGATCGTTTTGCATTGTTTTCTCGCTGTAATGTTTCGTGATTATAACAACTATAATTCTTTACGTCATTATCCTCTTCTAATTTGATTATATTTTTCCTTTTCTTCGAACTTGGCATTTGTAGTGTTTCCTTTCTATTCTCTTCCTCTTTTTCCAGCATTTTGTTGTCCAAAATACAAGTTTGGTTTTCTTCTAACGATAAACTGATTTTTCTGTCTAAATCTCCATGTATGTCCATCTTTTTCTTGTTTGGTGGTTTTTCATTGATGTTGATATCTTCTTTGTCGTCGTCGAAAGTACTTATAATAGGATCCATATACATTGCTGTTTGTTCTTCTTCTTCCACAGGTTTTTGTATTTTTTGAATGGTCTTTTTGTTAATTGATTCTTCGCTTTTGCTTACAACTTGTGGCTCATTCGCTGGGGTTGAGACACTATAATTTAATTGACTTTCAACCCTAAAGGAGTTTTGGTCTGTGAGTGAGTTCTGCAAACACATTGAATTATAAATATTAGAATATATTTCGTTAAAGCTCATTGTATAAGACTCTTCGTAGTTGTCATATCTGTGGTCTTTTTGATCATCTCTACTGTAACCATCCTGGACGTCCTTGTATCTTTTATATTCGTTTCTAAATCTGTGTTGTAAATTTCCGTATTCGACATTGTACTCGTCGAAATTCCGATCATAGTTATAAAAGTCTTCTCTTCCATAATCTTGCCAATCCATGTTCCTGTTTTGTCCATTTTTTCTAAAACTCTTGTCCATATTCTGATTGTTAAATTTATTGTAGCCTCTATTTTTTCTTCTATGTTGTTGACCCCATTTTTGTCGTTGGTTCCTTGGTTGATACGTGTTGTAATGGTCAATGGCATTGTAATTTGTTCTCGAAAAATCGTAGTTAGAGGGAGAGGAGTTGTCGAATAGAACATTTGGAGAAAAATTTTCTTTTAGATGATCTAATAAGTCTATCAAAATTTTAAATTGGATGCCAATAGTGCTAGCTTTTGCGGTACCTTCTAATTTATCCAGTATAATTGTTATTATAAGGGCTTCACAAGTAATTGGCATTCGTGAAGCTACAAATGTTATTTGTTCTATGAATTCTTCAACTGGTATGTTGTATCCATCAAAAAATTTTAATTGTTTTTCGAATAGTGTTAATGACAATGCAAGATTTAATCTTTGATTGACTATCCGAGAATCTTCTCCACGGTTTACTTCCGACATTTTCTAAACGTTATTCCTCTGTTTGCGTATTTCTGCTAATTCAGCATGATTTATTTATTGTTCTTCCAACTGATGAAGGTTTATTTTTAATATGTTACTTTTCATTCTTCTATTTCGTAGACTGATTTCACCTAAGTCATTATCTTCAAAATTTTTGTGCTATAAAATTTAAAATAAAAATCCTAAGTTTTCTTAATTTTCGAAGTTTAATAAAATACTAAATTTGTCTCCATTTTTCTATGCGTTTTAACTAAGATTTTTATTCAATTTATAATTTTAGGTTTTTTAATTTCGTTAAAATTTTATTTGCTATTTATCAAATATGAATTTTATTGAAAAGGAAACAATAAAAGGTGTATTTATTCATTTAAATTATACAGAAGTAAATGAGTTTTTCTTTAATTGTCTATATAAGCATTTCTTTCAATGTCTACTTCCTACTGACCTACACACCTGAAGTGTAACCTGACACAGTGTCGCGTAACCGAGTTCGTATACCTATCTAATTTAGCACATTGTCTCTCTATATTTCATTTCCAATTATTCTTTTTATTTACTCATAAAAATAAATTTAATTAATTTCGCAAACAATTTTTGTCATTTCCCGAATTTTATCTTTATTGTTGCTCTTCAAGACGGAGGATTCTTTTCTGGATTACTTCGAACTTTGAACCTCGTTTTGCTTCTTGGGTTTTTATTCTTTATGTCAATTCTCGTTTATCAATTTTTTCAGTTTATATTACTTATATTTGAATTTAAAATAAATGCTCCCTGTTTAGGCAGAGGTAGTACGAAAATCAAACTCTACTAACAACAGTACGGGGAGACTGTGGTCCGTTGTGAGATGTATGATTAAATTCAATATTAATTAAAATTTTACATTTAATTAATATTGTATTGTTTCGTTTTTGAACAAAATTGCTGAATATTCACTGCTAACGAAACTTTCGTTTTCGCTTGAAGAAATAAATTCTAAGCGTCCGTGAAAGTCGAGCGTATGAATGGTACAATATGCTTTTTTAAAGGAATTAAAAATACATATAACTCACTTCAGTAACTTTGAGGATTTGGTTAAATAAAATAAGATGGATAGATGATGATTCTGGAGCATTTATTTACTTTATTTATTTTTATTATTTTTTTTTTATTAATTATGTATTTATACACCTTGTTAAAATTCGCAAAGTAAGCTCTAAATTCTTTATTGTTTATTTTTTATAATTTTTCATAAAAATTCTTAGACTCTTTTTTTTTATAAAAAACTTTACTCAAACTTGTATTTTAGTACCCGTAATTAATGGGGAATTTTAATTTTTGTAATTTAAAACAAAGAATTTAATTTTAATCCTCTCACTTGCCCAAGTGGCTACACACTTCCGGCAAGGTTAAGTCAAGGAATTGGGCGCGATTTATTGAAGAAACCAGAGCTTGCCGTCGCAAGGGTAGTTACTGTGCCCTGTGTTCAACTTTAGTGAACATAAAAAAATTCTCTTTTACCGCACTTTTTTTTTAAATTTGATATATTTTTCTCCTGTGAAGAAACAGATAGACAAGTTTTATAAAATAGAAAATAAATGCATATAAATATATATCTATATCTCATAAAATATATTAAACTTTTGTGTTAATGTGCTTAGTGTAACACTGTATGTAAAAATTTAACTTTATATATGTCTTTAAAAAAAATTTTTTTTTTTTTAATTGTTAATTTTTTTTTACTTTTTCTATCTTCTCTTTCCTTCAAAGAATAAAGAGGAAAAATCCCACCGCTGCCACCAGTTTGTTAGAGCCGAATTTGAAAAATTAAATAAATTAATTTAATAATATCAAATTTTTAAAGAAACTTTAACTAAACGTGTCCTTCGGACAAAATAATTTGTAAAGGGTAGTGGATTCTTCCCTCTACTTGGTTATTGGTTCAACCAAGGGGTGAGAATCCTATCCCTTGAATTTGGAGAAGATAGGATAGTTTTAGGAATAATTAAATTATAAGCAAAAATAAGATTAAACAATATAAGATATATATTTTCCCAATGAGTCCCTAATACAAATAAAACTAATCTTTACGTGTGTAAAAAGTACGTGTGAATCTGTACGTGTGAATGAGATAATCGTGTGTGTCGTAAAATGTAAGATGTTTTTACTCACTACTTGGTATTCTGTACTTCGAAATTCGAATCCAATGACGAATCTTGTTTTTATCCTCTTTACTATGAACTTTAATATTCCTTCGATAATGCACAATGCTGAGACTTCAATTCTTTTACTCTTTAACATAATTTATGATTTCTTTAAATTTATTTTCACTTCTTTTATTTTAATATTTCTTTTCAATTCCCTATATTTAATTTTTATTACGTAAATTCTCTCTATTTATTTTCTTTCAGTATATTTCAATATTTTTCTTATATTTCTTTGATTCCTTTAATTACACAATTTAATTATTTATATTCAATATATATATTTTCAATTCAATCTTCTTTAACTTTTATTTATTTATATTATTCTCAATTGTATTCACTTTCTTTTAACAAACTTTTTATTCAACCGTTAGACTTTCGATACGATTAACACGGCTAAATGCCGGACTTAGAACTTCAGGCTACAATGGCCTGGACTAAAACTGCGGGCCTAAACTGCCCGGGCTAGCTGCCGGCTACAACGGCCTGGCTTAAACTGCCTCGATTTCCCGGTGTCAATCAATTTTATTGAAAGACGATTTAGTGGGGAAATCGTATGTTAAGTTCATTGTACTTGACTGTTGTCAGGTCAATTTCTGCAACCTTGCAGATTTAGGCAGTGGTGTGATCCGAGTTCAGTGACTTGGATGCACCACTCCTTATATTGAGCAATTTAACTTTGATATTTTCTAACTAATTTTCAAAAGGGTCAATAAACTGTTTGTCCAAGAAAAGGAATTTATTAAGAAATACCGTGTTTTATTCTTAGGCTTTTCATTTCAAATTGTGAAACTTAAAGGAATGTTAAATCTATTGAAATATATATTATTTATATAAAGTTAGATCTTTTTCCAATTAAAATATTCTGGATTAAGATATTCAAAGAGAAGAATGTCCCTTTTGTGAAATTTGTTGTTGTTTTTGTGTAAATGTTTTGTGTTGTTTAACAAAATCTCATATTGCGTGTAATTGTTGCATGTAATTTTAGTTTAAGTATAATTAAAAAAAGGTATTAACAATATAAAAAGTTACGGAGTTCGGCCGTAACATAAACTAAATTTTTTATGCAAAAGATATAGTTTGTATAAATTTTTTTTAAAAAAGTAGTTTTTTTAATCTACTGCGCATGCGTTTTGAAATATCTCGAAAATTGCAACGGCATTGGATTCTTTGGAAAATTTCCCATCGACTAGTACTTTTCTGAATTTTTTTTAGGCCAAAATTGACATTTTTTCAAGCAAAAATGGATTTTTTAATTTTAGTTTTTAAAAATGTCACTTTTCATGAAATTGAAGATTGTGAGTGATCTTTATGAGATACGCACTTAAAATTTTGGCTAGATCACAATTTTTGAAGGTAGAATACGCCTAAAAACTTTGAGACAAATCGATAACTTGTCACGTACAACTGTTTGATTTACCCGTGGAATCCCCCATGAAAATTACAGAATTTTGATTATTTGAATCTTTGTTTTCTTGATTACTTATAATTGTTTATTTTCGCTTTTGTTTTTTAACATGCCAGTGATCCATAGTTTTTCAGATAAGTTTTTGTATTAATTAAAATGCGAAAGGCAGGAACACATAATAAAAATCGTTCAGAAGTTTGATTATTGTGTTTTGGAAGGTCAAAAATTATTATGCGAGTGCAAGGAAAGTTAAATAATTACTTTGAGAAGATGTATGACTACAACCCTTGTGATAAAAGGTTACCTAATACTTTGTGCACGAATTGTCAAATAAAACTATGTAAAGTCAAAAGTGGTAGAGAAATCAATCTCAAATTATAATTTTCTTCTATTCTTAAACCACTCAGCAAAATTAATACTCGTTTGAACAGCAAAGCTTTGAGTCTCTGTTATGTTTGCCAACATGTAAGGAATTCTGTACCCATAAATATTCGATCTTTGAGTTCAAAAATTGTTACTTCCAAGGGATTTCTTACAGATATTCTTTCAAAAACTTAAAAAATTTATTTGCTTAAACAATTACATTTGTTATAAACAAATTTTTTATTTTTTAACAAATAATTAGCTTTTTTCATCAAACAAAATTTTTTCCTTTTTTATATTTACTATCATAAAAAAGAACTCCTTAATGAAATGGGAATACTATAAATTATTCATTTAATTCTAACGAACATTATAAGTTAAGAAATATTTATATTTTTAATGAAGTAAACCATTATTCAGTTAAAACAGTTTACATTTAAATGCATATAAATAAATATATTTTTTCTGTGAAAAAAGAACAAAGTTAAATATTTGTTAACTTATAATGTTTATTAAAATTAAATGAATAATTTATAGTATTCCCATTTCATTAAGGAGTTCTTTTTTATGATAGTAAATATAAAAAAGGAAAAAATTTTGTTTGATGAAAAAAGCTAATTATTTGTTAAAAAATGAAAAATTTGTTTATAACAAATGTAATTGTTTAAGCAAATAAATTTTTTAAGTTTTTGAAAGAATGTACATATGATATAAATATTTAAAGTTTGAAAAATGACGAAAATGTTTACAAATACAAAAGGAAGTTGATTATTGTTTATATAATTGTTAATATTAATGATAATTTTTAACTTTAAATTAATTGTTTACTAAATTAGATATAAATTCGAACTTGTCTGCAAAAAAACCAATTTTTTTATGAAGAAGGTCCGAAGTAATCTATTTGTTAATTAACGTTGTTTGCAACAATTTAAATAAATTGTATTATGCTTTATTAATTGTCCGGTGGTCATACTAGACTAATTTAAATTGATTTCGATCATGTGTAATGGAAAAATAAAAAAACTAACATGATTTTTTCTAAAAATATT